CCTTGACGGCCACTTGACATTTAGAAAATTTGGCTGTGGATACAGAGAGCGCCAAGTTAACTTCACGGATAAATCGTTCTTCGACGATAAATCATTCGAGCATTCACCGAATAATAATTTACGAAACGTCCGAAATTCTTCTTCCATGTTCCCCGATGACACAATAGCTCGTCTCACGTATCGTTCACACGCGCCGCAGCGCGTTGTGCGTTTACTCTGTGACGTTTGCTGTTCGTGCTCTCGACGTGGAAGATTTTGAAATTATCTTGTAACACGATAACCGGCACAAAATCGCTAAATAAAGAAACGCTTGGGAAACGCGCGTGTTGGTCGAACGAGGAAGAGGATGCGACGATCGACGTTATGGCAACCAGACGGTGTTAGGCAAATAAACCGAACTTAGGATAGGAAAAATATAGGATGACGTGGACACGTAGGGGGCATTTATCAAAATCGGAACTCACGTGCACTTTTCGTAAGAGTGAACGGAAAATTAGATTATGCGCTTGTAGACACGATGAACCGGGTGCCAAGAATCTTCGGCGTTCGTTTATCTTCCGGATGTGTTTCCTTAATTCTCGTCGTCCTTAACTCTTGATTTATAACCACTGTTTCTGAACGATTTAAACTTGTATACGTATATCGTGTCGAATAAACGAGTTGCATCTGTATTAACGAGTATTAATCTATGGACGAGTCTCGACAGGGAAGAGTTAAAATTTTCGAGTTACAGATTATATAGTATAGTTTTTGATTTTGAGTCACAGAAAAATTCGAGATTATATTCGAGGTAGAAAAAATGGAGGAGGATACTACAGGTAGAGAATATGTCGATCTTTTCGTGTGATCTTCACGACAAAAAGGAAGAATTCTTCGTATAAAAAGGTAATTTTATTTTTTTCGATTTTTCTTCACATATTATTCAATCGTGGACAATAAATTATCTTCATCGAATGAAGTATGCGCGAATAGAAAATTCGATGATGCATAGACTCTTTTTAATTATCATCTCTGACATTTATCGGTGGTTCCTTTGATGGTTTCACTGACCCTTTTGCTGCCGTATATCTCAAGCGCACACTCGATTGCAGTTATTCAGGCGTCTAACGAATCACGACTTTCGCTCTCGGCGATATTATTCAAGTTATACGATAAAATATTCCGTTTAATAATCGAATAGTGTGAATTTCACTTTGTTTTCATTTGTTTTGTATTGTAATAATTGTTAACAATCGTCCTCGTGTTAATTTTTATCCGAATCTCCACATCTCCGTCTTCGATTAGATGCGACATTTTCCCAAATTTCAATCATGTGCAACCACACCAAATCGAAGTATTTGCGCTTGGTATACGAAACTCGTACTCGTGTCAATCGTCGTCGCGCTTAATCGTAGCCCTGTCCATCCTGATTAACCCACTGTGCAATTTAATCGTCACCACCGGTCATAACTTCCATAAATTCTAAAACCAGAAATTAGAATTCATGAAACACTATCTGCAACGATGTTGAAATTGCGGAAACTCATAGCTGTATCGTAAAAAAATATATATATATATAATCACACTAAACATGACACTAAATAAACATTTCAGAGAATTTGAACGTCGATAAAAAGAAAAACATTTGTATGGCTCGAATGGAAATTGTTTGAAACGTTGTCTACACGACAAGCGATTAATTAATTCAATCAGATAGAATTCTTGGCAAGCCTCGTCGAAACGTTCCCTATGCAATTTTCGCAAATACGTGTTGTTCAACTTTTCGTTTGTCTTCCGTGCGAATTAATTAATTGGATCGATCGACGATGTTATGAAAATTTCTAGGATAAACCCGCCTACCGTCGAAGTCGAGCGTTCCAGAACCGTCGGCATCGATTTCCTCTATCATCATGTCCAGCTCTTGCGGAGTCAATTTATCGTCCAATTCGTGAAGAATGTCACGGAATACTGCGGTGGTTATGTAGCCGTTTCCTTCTTTGTCGTACAATCGGAATGCCTCGCGTAATTCCTGCTGCATAGCCTCCGAATCTTCCTCTACTAAGAATCGGGCGGCTAGGGTGCAGAACTCTTCGAATTCTAATTGGCCGGATCCTAATTGGACAGGGAGGAAAAATTAATTATTAACTCTTCTAAATTGTTCTGTAATAGGTAAATGAAATTTTTGGAGTTATTTTTTTTTTAGAGGAGTAACATAAGGGTTAATAAGAAAAGGGTTGAAAGTCGGAATTAAGATAGCGATGATTTTGTTCAAGTTTATTCTTCTCACCATCTTCATCAACTTCGGTGATGATCTCTTTCAACGTCTTCTCGCTGAGCTCGTAACCCAACATGGTCAATATCGTACCCACCATGTCGGTACCGATGCTACCCTTTTTGTCATGATCGAAGGCGTCGAACGCTTTCTTCAAAACTATAACGAAGTGACGTAAAAGTATAAATGTTATTTATCAAGAATTAATCGTAACAAAGGAGAGAGAGAGAGTAATATGTTACTTACGAGCAATTTGATCCTTGGTCAGATCATCCTGAAACCATTTTATCAAACGTTAAAAAGAAATGTTTACAAATTTTATGGAAGTTTGATTAAAAATGTGCCGGAGAAATATTACAATGGACGATTTTAGAGAATGGTTAATGTTTACATTGGCTCGGTATTTATAAAAACGCACCATGATGAAGCAATAGGTGTACGGTTTTAGAGTCTGTTAACGCACACGACACCGTCGACGGTTTATCCGGGTATGCACCAGATTCTGGCTGTGGACTTCTGTTTTATGTGGACATTAGGATGATCTGGCACGTGATTGACCGGGTAATATCTACGTAGGAACTCTAGTGGTTTTCAAATTCATCGAGGACACTCCCCACTCTCAGTTTCCGCGAAACAGGGATTTCAATTGTGCAAAATTCGAGGCAACGTACTCAAATTTTTCATTGTTATACTATTGCAAACGAAAGGATTTAGCACGATATCTGTGCGAATAATAATTTTTTTTCAATTTTCCCAATTGTCGAATATTTTAAGCATCCAAAGATTCGAATATTGTTCTCAAACAGTATCGATGATTATTTCGCGAGATTATACTCGGCTAGATTTTTTTTTTATTATTATATTTCACTAAGAAATTTCTTTTTCTCGTATTTACGATTACTTATTACTCAATTTCGTAACAAAGGATTATTAACAACAGTGATTATAAAAACTCCTGATGTTTGAAATCGAATAAATTTCAATCCTTGTATATAATTAAAAACACTAATTACCGAATTATCGCTCTTCATTATCGGTTATTTACTTTAATTCTATGCAGCATATAATTCCAATCATTTGCAAGTCAATAAGAAAAAATTACATCACTCGGTACCATATTTATCGCGGGATTTCGAACGTATATATAACCAGGAATAACTGGACTGTGAATATTTACACCATTTAATGTAACGTAAAAATGTATAACAGGAATAATACAACGTAACATACAACGTATGTAAAAAATATTTTACGAACGAAATCACTCATTAGTAGATAGCCGAGCGAGTATAAAACGATAATTTCCATTCCATTTTATTTCTATGTTTCAAATATATAAATTCGTCTTAGCGATTAATTTATCCACGATTTAACAATAACTCATCCTAAGCGAGAGAATACTTCACTATTGTGCAAAAACGTTCGTTTCGCAACGATACTTCAGGGAATTTCCGCCATAATCCGCGATTCACGATCAATATGGCTCTACAATAGACGAAATTGGCTCGTGGCCGGATATCGTGCGATCTTCCGAGACAATTCGACGTAATAAGCATATCTATCTATATTTTTAGACGGCTAATTATACGTGCATAGTATCTAAGGCCATAGCTAAGATATTTAGGGGATATCAAATGATATCGATTTTGCTGGCATTTTGCTCGTTTCCTATCTTCCTTATTGTTAAACTCTTCTTGGTGAAAATTCCTTCGATACGTGAACAATCATTACACGAGCCACTACGAACGAAATCTCGAAGTTATATTTGCTATAGACGTGCTCGAGGACGCACGTGTTACTACACGAGCCGGTCGAGTGATATCTTGTGTATTTAATTTTAATTGTACTTGACGTTGCAAAATAATATTTTATATAATTTTCGTAATGGAGAACTCGTGGAAAGGGATGATTTAATTAAAAGAGATGATCGAAGAATAATTTATTTCTTTATGTTCTCTCGATGATATCGTTATTAGTATTGGTAAAAAAAAAAAATAATAATAATAATAATTGGGCAATTGTCATTGCATGTCATGAATGAAATGACATGCAAATATAATATAAAGAAGGGCAAATAAATTACACGATTTATATTTGCTATTTTTTTGTACTTTCATTCTTTTTATAATTTTTTTTTTTTTTTTTTTTTTTTTTCA